TGTATGCCTAGTACTTATATAATAACTGTGTCGCGCTAAATCTTTGTTTGTCAAACATTTGCAAACCAAGCATCAACCTTTCGCGATCTTCTGTTTCGCTAGCTATATTGACGATTAAATAGCTCGTTTTTCTTGACCCAAGAATAAATGATTGAATAAACTAAATCTAGGGCCTTATGATCTGCATGTAACTAGTGAGGCTGATTTAAATAATTGCATAGGAGGTCACAGGCTTCATTTCTTCATGGGGATAACTCTTTTGTTATTATATGATCTGTGGCAATACATAGGTTCACAAAATACTTAATTGGATTTACGCGAATATTTGACATCTATACATATAATAAAATTGTAACTAAGCCGAATCTGTTCATTAAATATTTTTTGGAAAATCTTATTGAAATAGACATTATTACCGATACAGAGGCCGAATCTATAGTTTTTAGAATTTTTTTGTCTGTCTGTTACCGCATCACAGAAAAACCACTGGAGGGATTTTGATGAAACTTGGTATGGTGATAGCTGGTTATCCGGGTCAACATATTGGATACTTTTTATAGTATACTAATATGTAAAACCTAAGAATTTCATTTTTGGTCATCTGAACGGGGGTGGAGCCGCGGGCAATGCTAGTTTTAAATGAAAATATCTATTCGGAGTTTTCGCGAATTTATTTAGATTTTTGGTTGGTTTACTTAAAATATTATATAAGTTTAATATAAGGTTTCTAATCATAAATTCGTAGTAATAATATTGAAACGGATTTAAAAATATAAGTAACTGATTGTGTCTAACTAGCAGATCTCATTATAAATATTTATTACTATTCTGTGCTATTCCAACAATTTAATAGGTACAAGAGAAGACACTTCGACCTTTTCTTGATTACATTAGGAATTTGACCTTTACATGCTTAGACGTTCCCATAACGATTGTCTATAGTTAATATACAACAGATTGTTCGCATCACTTCTTTGTATATATACCGTTCACCTCTTTAGAGTGTCCTCGTAATTTTGATTGTGAAGTATCTACTTTTTATCGATAATATTATTATTCTGTGATGGTACCACAGAAATATAATATCTATACAGATAAATAAAATTGAAGTGTCTGTTTGAAATGTCAAAATAACAGTTTTATTGTTTTGATTGAATAAATAAATAAATATGTTGGTACATTAACACACAGCACCATCAAGTTCCATGGTAAGCTACGAGGCCTGTGTTATGGATACCAGATAGTTGATACACTACACATATATAACATTAAATACTTACATCTATACTATAATAAAACAGTAGAGGTCGAATGTCTGTACATAGCAAAAAAAAATGCTAAAAACCGAGTCGGGGGTAACCGAGTAAGAAGACAAATAGAACAAATCCTGATTTTTTCCAATTTTTTGTTTCTCTGTCTGTTTGTCTGTTTGTATGGGCTAATCTCCGAATCTATTGGAGTGATTTAAATGAAATTTTGCATGGTAGTACCTTATATCCCCGGGCAACATCTTAGATACTTTTTATCCCGAAAAATTAAATAGTTCTCGTAGGATAGTTAAAAAACTATAGTATCTTATACAGCTTATTACACAATAACTTATGTACCTAATTTAGTAAAATTTAACATTCTGATACTTACCTTATATTGTCGGTTAAACAACAGGTTACTTTTCATCCCGGAAATATGAACGGTTCCCGTGGGAACTAATAGATCTCTATTAATGTTTTCCTAGAGGCGAACCCGAGCGAAGCGAGGGTGAGCCGTTAGTGTTATAAATATGAATGAAGAAATGATAGAGCAGATTGCCTTTTCGTAGTAACAGAATTAACTGCGATTGATATCCACGTTAAAAGTATAGGTTAAATTATCTACAATAACATACCTTTACATACATACATATGCATGTACAATGTACATACATAAAGTAAATAGAACTGTTTCACTACTGTTAAGTAATTATTACTGTTAAATTGTTAACTGCCTCGGTGGCTTAGTGACTAGCATGCTCAGCTGCAGGAGGTCCTGAATTCGAGTTCCGGGTTGGTTCACTTTTATTTATTAAGTGTTCCTGTTTAGAAAGTCTCAGTAACAGCTTTGAGTTGGGGAGTAGGCGGTATGTCACCCCCGTGCCTACACGTAACACCTCGGTCCCGTGCCTGATCTCTCACTGGTCGTGCCGAATTGTCGTCCCATCGGAGTATGAGTGTAACAGGAATAAATAGTGCATTTGTGTATAGGTAATAAATATATCCTGCGCAGATGGTTAGTCTCATTCCACTGTGATCGACATTTGGTCAATTTTTTTAAATATTATCTGTAATTTGAGATAGTATGTCAGTTTTGTGAACATATTTTAGACATAGTAATCTTAGATTTGACGAAACTGGCTGAAGTTATTTCTATAATACATGAAACTAAGTTGCATACGATCAGATTTATATCTATACACCTAGATAGAATAAATAGTTTATACCTCAAGGTACGATGGTCGTCTATATAACTTCTTCTTTGGAAATTGCAATTAAGTACAGTTCGCAACCATTACCTACTTACATAAAACTTTCTTAGGGGATTCTTGTGTACTTACTGTGATATTAAAAGAAGTCTTTCATTAAAACGTACAATATCCAAGAGTAATTCTATTAATGTCATAATTTAGCAAGTTAAAAAAATATATGAAATAAAAAAAATATAATTATTCTAATAGAAGATTTGAATTTACCTATATGGCAAATTTTAAAATATTTTCTAACATAAACGAGTACCTATGTAAAAATTTAAGCTTTAGCTTATCTATGAAAAAATAAAAATATTTTCCTGAAAAGAAGTTACTATAAAATGTATGTTTAAATAAATGTAGTACATGGAAAAAAGTACACAGGTAAAACTAAGGCGGGTTACTAGTTGACATATACTTATTTTTATGCACACAAACAAAAATACAAACTATGTAAGTTAATTTGTTGATTTTTTGACGTAAGCGGGAATCAAACTCAAATCGTTATTAATTCTGTACATTTAAAAAGCTTCATAATACCTACCTATGTAAGTAATAATTCAAATAAACTAATTTTAAAAGGTAGATCATTATTTCAATAATTTGCCATTATTGCTCATTCCATTTTAATATTTTTCCAATAAACAACAAAGCAATTCTAAATCATTTCATGTTGTTTCAACGTTTTGCTGTCAGGTTGTAGTGAAAATGACCTGGATACGTACAGTGTTAACCAATAACAAGCGTCCTTGCTTTCGAAAAATACGATTTTGTACAATTTTAAGTGGAGGTGGTTTGATTATGAATACGTGAATTATTTATCACTCGATTTTTATTGTTGTTATAAGTGCTCAAATTAACTAATATTTACGTGTGTCTGTTTGTCATTTGTTCCTTTTTACGACTAAACCGCTCATATAATAAATTTATTACTTATTAACTGAACTAGTTTTGTTCACGGGCCCGTTCTTGGTAGATATAGGAGAAAAACCATATACTAGATAATCATTCATCTTCATTATCGTCATGATGGTCATCATTTGACGACACATTTGGCTGAGTTTGTAGTGGCCCTACTTGCTGTGCCAGCGGTCGCGGGTTCGAGTCCCGCTGGGGTCATATATTTGCGTGATGAGCATGAGATGGTTCTGTAAAATCGGTCGAACCGTTTCGGAGAAGTGCGACCACAAACACCGTGACACGAGATATTTATATATTAGATTAGATTAAAAGATAATTATGAAAATAATAGGTTTTTGTATTTAGGTAAATATTTACATCGAATTATTATAATTACTACACGTAATTATTGCTTTGTAATAAACACTAAAATTTAATATGTACTTATCATATTTATATAAAAACTAAGTAAAGTATATATTTTATCATCATATAAAGGAAATGCGGGAAATAATTAAATAACTAATAAAATCTTAGAGTTATTAGTAAAAAGATTCTTTTGATGACAAATATTTAAGTTTACCGATTTAAAATAATATTTTTAACTTTTATATATTCTATTTCAAATATTTTTACTGAATATTTACACAATTTTCAACAACATCGTTATTATTAGTAGTATATTTGTGTATTTTTACTCTTCAGAGTAAAACATGTACTTATAAAGACCGTCTCTCTATTAGTTTTCGACTAAACATTGCTTTCTTAATGCTAATTATATATTGTTTTTATAATACCATAATGAAATATACTAATATAATAATTAATCAAAATCTATTGTAAACATTTATTTTTACAAGATAGTTTTATATTATTATAAAAGAAAATAAACATAAAAATATTGATACTAATTACATATTTTTGATATTGGAATATAAATTAAATTTAAGGTATTTAAATATGTATGTATATCTTAAATATAAAACCCTTGAAATGTGACGTGATCTGATATTCTAGATCTTCTTGATAGATCTGATCTGATGATAGATATTATAGATAGATGTGATAGTTAAAGCATTTACGTTAAGAATGAAAAACTTATATACGTAAAGAAAATAAGAATATTAAGAGAACAGAATAACATAAAAATAATAATCTTAGTGTAATATAATAAAATATGTACACTTAATAAAATAAAAATATTATTCACTGCAATTCTTTAAGCTCTTTTACATTTTTAGCAAAAAATATCTGTTTTGTAAAACAGTCTACACAGGAGTTTAAAAACATATCTTAAATACTAAGGTATTTTAGGTTATCCAAGGAACTAAAAATATTTGTACTGGTTTTCTAATTAGGCAGTAATATAGGTATATTGTAATGCAGAGTCGCAACAACGTGGCTGTTGATTTAAGGACGACGCAGATAATCAAATTTGCTATGTTCAAAACTTTGATATTTATTCATTTAATTAGTATGTTTTATATTATATTAGTAAATTCTTCATGTTATTGCTTCTTACACTTTACAATTGATTTTGCTAAAACATTTAAATAGTGACTAGTGTTGTATGAATCTGCATGAATTTTGTTTTTTTTTATGTGACGGAGAGAGATGCTCTGAAGCGGTGATCGAGACTGCCGTAGGAAGGTCGATATCTTGGCGTACGTTGACTCCAAGGACTGCGCCTGTTTTTGAAACTTGAGCAAGCTATAAGACTGTTCATTGCCGGCGGGCGAGATTGTTCCACACTGATGCCGTACCTGTGACTGAAAATTTTACAGATTTTTGACATAAAATAATTAAAACTAATTGAATTTTATATTAAAACTAGCGACTCACTCTCGCTTCACTCGGGTTCGTCCCTACTTTTTATATTAATAAAGTGTCAGACGAGATTGATTGGATGGACTATAATAGTGAATGGTTGGTGGTTTCATTATATAGTAAATAACAATCTCAATCAGAAACTTAGTTAAGTTTCGTCTTAATTGATATAATACATTTAAAGACATTTTGAGCTATCCGCTCGATGTTATGTCGTTGATGACTTTATAATGTTATGTTTAAGCAATTTAATGATTCAATATGTAGGAATTTTATGACAATTACCTATCTTATACATGGATACCCACTACAACTTAATTGCCAGTCTCACATCCTTAGAATGCTTTATTTAAACAGGTATATAATATATATATATATTGTGATTTTTTCTATTTAAGAATAGTCAGAGATCTTAAGTCTTAACTTTAAAAAATGATGACTATCGAACTGAATTTACGTGCGAACTTTAGTACAGATGTATAGTAATTAAAATAGGAGATGAAAAGGTAGCTTAGACCCTTCTTTAATGTTTAGAAGGACAAAATAAACAGATATAAGTTTTGGATTCCAAATAAGTTACCAAGGAGTTTGCACTGTGAGCTCTTATACTCTGTATTAGGTATTTATTCCCTAACTTAATTTTTATAATATTAATATTTGTAACTTTTTTATTTTTTTTTATTTAACGAAACGTTTGGCTCAGTTGTAGTGACCCTACTTGCTGTGTCAACAGTTGAGAGTTCAAGTCCCGCTAGGTTGCAGTGGTCAAAGCACGAGTGTTTGTACTCTAGTCATGGGTGTTTATATTTGTAATATTTATGTAATTAAAGTTATATATGTGTAGTGTATCAACTATCTGGTAACCATAACATAAGCCTCGTAGCTTACCATGGAACTAGATAGTGTTGTTTGTTAATGTCCTAACAAATTTATTTATTGTTTATTTGTACCTCTTAGTCCTAGTAGCCGGTGGTAAGTACTTGTCACCAATGAGGACGCTCTCATCTAAGGTGCCATCTAACTGCATGAGATCACCAGCAGAAACAGACACTTCCATTTTGTACCGTTCAAAAGTACACAGGAACAGTAACACGATCGCCATCTTTTAAAAAATAATACGGTAAGGTTATGATGAACATGAAATATGATAAAATTAGTTATAAAAAAAAAAGTATGAAAAATAAATATAATAATTAAAGACGTGAATAGATGAAAGGAATATGATACGACTCGTACAAGTTGTAAGTATTGAGAATATGGACTATAAAGGTTTCTTTCAAAAAGTGAAATAGTAGTTGTAGGTAGATATAATTGGGGAGAGATAACTTAATAAAAATATCAGAATATTTATTTAATGATTTTTAAAAAATTTAATTTATAATTCCAATTTAAATATAATTTTGTGGGTAGAAACCGTCTGCAGCAACTACGAAATAACCTTTGAGACGCCTAAAACCTTAGTTTTCTCCGCGATCATGATTATATACTGTAAAGCAATCGAAATTTCGGGAGCCAAGAAACAAAATAAAACTCATCGTTTCGATTCGAAGATAATTCAACATAAAAAAAATATACATTCATCCACTCATGTGTTCATTCGTTCAATTATTGAATGAATGTTAATAAGGGTTAAGATTAGATACTGTTAATAACTAGCAATTTCCGCCAGCTTTTCAGGTGCATTTTCATAGTAATAAATCATTTTTCTTAAATTTTTAAGAATAACAAATAAATATGAAATAACATTACATGGTATTGACTTTCATTTGAATATATTTTGCAAGCGTTATATTTTGACTATTATTATAATATGGAGTCAAAGTGCTAAGCACTTCTTAAAAGACATAATTAACATCTCGTCTTATCGCCTCTACTGGTGACAGGAGGGCTGGCGCATTTTTCGCCCAAAGAATCGGCATTGCCTTTCGACGGGGGAATGCGGCTAGCATTCTTGCCACTATTCCACGCGGACATGACTCGTACAGTAATAACTAAGTGTACATTTGTTTTGTATATATAATTAAGTATACTTGATAAATTTTTTTATTGTAAATAAAAAAAACTGATTACAATATAAATACTTACTACACATAAATGTAATATAACAACGAACGAAGTTGACTTTCTGAATCCTATAGAGTCAAAAAGCAATCCAGAAACTGTGGGTCCGATGAAAGCACCTAAAGCGAAAGTGGACGTCCACATTCCAGATACTAGGCCATAGGTTTCTATAGAGTTCGGCAACCCACTGGCACTGTAAAAACATATTAGTCATTTTAATAAATATAAAGAACTAGCATAACCCGCGTCTTTGCTCGCGTTAAAACTACAAAAAAACTCTAAAGTCTGAAAGCTTTTGTTTTTTATTGGGAATGAAAGATTTCCCTGTGGGAAAAGACATCCTAAATGTTGTTCAGAGTACGTAATAAGTTATCACTACACATTTAGTTAAAATCGGGTCAGTAGGTACTTTTGCGTAAAATTCACACAAATAGACAGACAAACAGACAAAAAAATTCGATAACTACTTTTTTAGAGTCTATATTTTGTACACAATAATTGTTTATGTACAAATTTAATTTGTGTTTGCCCAACGTTCATGTGGTATATTGATCATTAAAATATATTATACTAGCATTGCCCGCGGATTCGCCCGCATTCAGATGAAAAAAAAACCAAGTTCTTAGGTTTTACAAATTAGTATAGTCTTACTTTGCAGTTTTTGCATTTTTTCTCAGAAATGAGATATCTTCCCGCGGTAAAAAGTATCCTATATATTGACCACGATAACCAGCTATCACCATACCAAATTTCATCAAAATCCCTGCAGTGGTTTTTCTATGATGTGGTAATAGTAGACAGACAGACAGACAAAAATTCTAAAAACTATAGATTCGGCCTCTGTATCGATAATAATGACTATTTCAATAAGATTTTCCAAAATATATTTAATGTCCAGATTCGGCTTAGTTAGAATTTTATTATATGTATGGGTTAATCTAGACGATAAAGCCATAGTCCTGTCTCCAGAAAAATTAGTCTCAAATCTAAAGTTCTTAAAAGTAATGAAATGAAACCAAAATTACAATATCAATTAAACTTATAAAAGCACTTTGGAATCATCAATTTATTTTAAAGATAGGCAATTTAGTCCGTCCGTGAGGACAATAATAAACATACACTATCACAAAATTTCATGTTTATAATATAAATTTGATAAGTGTCTACAATTTTTTTTGTGATATGTTTTGACTCCTTTTAATTAAAGCTAATTAAAATAAAAACAAAGTATTCTTCATGATTAAAGAAATATCAAAATTAAGCTAAGTACATTGTATCAAATGTACATGCTCTAAAATTAAAATAAATGGCAGCAGGTCAGTTTACACAATAATTACGTGTTGCTAAATGCGTAATAGTATATTATCCTGTGAGGTTATCTGTATCACTACGAGTTTATCGTATAAATGAATTATTTATGAAATAATATACAAAAAGATATATTAAAATTATATACGTACATGGCAGTGCTGAGCGCGTCAGAAAACGAAGACACGAGCAGGCTGCCGAGGCCAAGACCATGGAGGATCAATCCAATAATTGTCACCCATAAAACCCTGGAAGTTAGATCATTTACTTAAATATATAATAAAATATTTTATTATATAGTTATTTATATTAGTAGTGCTAATAAAATGTTAGAAACAACAGTATATAATTATAACGCTTTCTTTGTTACTTATCTTAATTGGAAAATATAAGATATTAATCTTTGAAAATTTAATAATTTCATTTGAATATTGAATAATTTTAAAATTGTATGATTTTAGTTATTTCTATTGTTTAGCTTTATTTATATTTTATAGATTCATTAAGCATTCATATATGTTAACTGCTTCGTTGGTTTAGCGTAGTGGCTAGCATATACGGCTGCAGATAGGGAGGTCCTAGGTACGAGTCCCGGTCTTATATTATGTTTATTGACTTTCTGTCCGGAAGTTCTTGGAAAAAGTTGTTGGTGGTTTGGCAGTGTTTCAGCCCTTCACCTCTATACCTTAATAGTTAACACATAAGTATACAGTACGCCGTAACGTACGTAAAGTCATCGGTCTAGCGCCTGATTTCTCACTGGTCCTGTTTATTGTTCAAAGTACTATTTTGATTGATGATATTATAAGGCATAAGTAAGCACATACTTTTACACTATAATATGGATAGCTTAATTTTAACGGATTTTTTATTGACTTACGTTGGCATATCAAAAAATGGTGCGGGTCCGATAAGTAAGAAAGCTCCAACAACGAATACGTGCCCGCAAGTGGTGATGTACTTCGGCTTGATAGAAGGATGATCACAGAGCCAGCCCCAGCCGGGCGCAGATAGTGCGTATATACCACCATTTATTATAAAGATTAAACCTAATATCACGGGAGAGAAGCTAAACTGAAAATAAATAGTTAATATTAGTTATATGTTATAATTTAATTCTATCTATACATATAATAAAACTGTAGAGGTCGAATGTCTGTACATAGAAAAAAAATGCTAAAAACTGAATTAGGGGAATATAAGAAAAGAAATATAAAAAATCCAGTTTTTTTCAAGTTTTTTGTTTCTCTGTCTGTTTGTACGGGCTAATTTCCGAAACTGTTGGACCGTTTTAAATGAAATTTTGCATGGCGATACCTTATATCCAAGGTCATTCATACAACAGAATAACAAATATGTTACTTTTTATCCCGGAAAATGTACGGTTCCCGTGGGATAGATTTGATGTCTAGAAGTGAACCTGAGCGAAACGAGGGTGAGCTGCTAGTATGAAATAACGTCTTTAATATTTCACTGTCGCTGAGACTATTATATTATTGTTTAAACTTTAAAATCATATGGGACATTTACCATGCTTTTCGTTTTTTTTGGGTCTTAGATATTTATAATATCTTGTTATAAAAAATGTTTCTACTTTCAGCCGTTAATCTATTTTCATGGTGCACAGAAAAAAAATCTTAATACTATACTAAAATCTACTGATGAATATCTGGAATGTACCTGTCGTAAATGAGGCTCTAGCGTCGCCTGCAGAAATCCAATACTCAAACTCGTTGATATGATACTGATTGCGGCCAATAAAACTCCAGGAATTTTCAAGAGAGACATCATAGTAGCTGAAATGTATGTATCGATTGATGTAGTGTATGATAACTCTCAAAATTAATATTATTTTATACTTTCCAAATAATATTTTTATATGAAAATATGGTACCGCCCAATATGATTTGATTATTTAATCAGGTTTTAATTTCTTTTGGAAGGATCGCTACGGTCAGTTCCTGAGTAACTCTCGTAAGTACCTACTTATGTATGTATCGTGCCTCGGAGAGCACGGAAAGCCGTTGAGCCTGCGCCTTAACTCTCACTGGTCGTGTCGAGCAGTCGTCCCACCGGAGTATGAGAGTGACAGGAATAGACAGTGCACTTGTGTCTCACTTACACTTGTGCACTATAATATCTCCTGCGCAGTTGGCTAGTCTCAATGAGATTGGCCGCCGTGGCCGGAATCGGTCAGGACGGCATTTGTTATACAATGCCTGTTGTAGCCCAAAATCGAATTCAGGATTGATAAAAAACTAAAAGCTACAGTGCTAGATAGCCGTTGAATATCATTTAATAACTTATCATTATTTATCACGCATTAGTATAAGTCAAGTTATAAGCGTATTAAAAAAACTGATATATGTTTAACTTTTATAAAAAAATCCCATTAAATGATAAAATTTGTTGAAACAACTTGCGTATTTAAATTATTGAAGACCTTTAGCTCTTGTGATAAAGAACTTATTTAGTAGGTAGTTCAAAAATTATCTTATTAGCGCCAAAACTTAGAGAAATGATTATGAAGAATATAATGAAGAGTTTGTTTGTTTGTTTGTTTGGTTGAACGCGCTAATCTCATTTCAAAAATTCTTTTTGCATTAGATAGCCCGTTAATTGAGGAAGGCTATATACCGTCCCGGAAAAATGTTCGGTTCCCGTGGGACAGATTTGTTTCTGTCTAGGGACGGACCCGAAGCGAAGCGAGGGTGAGTCGTTAGTAATAACATAAAAGTTATCTTGAAAGAAAATTAACGCAGTTATGTAAAACAAGTGACCCGCATCCCTATGATACTTATCGCAGTGAAGTAATATACTGAGAATCCATATTTTTTACTCGACTGAGGTGAAGACCAAAAAAGCTTATGTACTTGATTCACAAATTTACTTACAACAAGTAGTCATGTCGCTATCTAGTCTATGAATTAGCAGAAAATCTATACTTATTACGATATTCACGCCAATCTGTTACTGTGTAAAAGAAAAACAAAATACCAATAGTAGGAATTCCATCGTATATATACATCAATACTATGTAGAATGGAGAAGTTAAAAAGAGATAGTCTATCAATTATACTCACGTCCTGTAGGCTTGATGTCTTCATCATCAGGGGTATTCGGCAATGTTATATAACACAATATAGCTGTGCAGAATAAAGCGAAACCTAGTACTGCGAAAGGCAGAGAATAGCCACCCCAACTGTACAATGCTCCACCCAACATAGGTCCTACAATGAGACCCAGCCCGAAGAATGTTTCTAAGGAAGCCTGGAATATTATTATACAGCTTGTAAAATTGAACATAAATTTACTTTGCGTATAACTATTTAACATAATTTGTTTTTAACTAAAAGAGTCCAATGACTTTAACATCATCTTAGACCCTTCTTTAGAAGTGAAATTTTATTTCCAGTTTAATAGGTCTATCCTTGGTAGCTTAATTATTAAAAAAATAACTATGATAATAATCGCTTCATAATTAATTGATATAACAAAGTTAGGTCTAAGCAAAAACATTAAATCAAAATATTGCCACATCAGTTTTATTAGGCGTTTTATTCTATAATGTACAATGTACATAGTTGAGGAGAAATGATAAAAGTAAAATATCTTTGAATTTAAGAGTTTTAGTTTTAAACATAAAATCGGTAACTTTTTGTAACATATATTTTTATATTAAATATCTTTATACATTACATATTTAGTATAAAAATATATGTTATTCTATTTAAAATTGAACTGTGAAGCTCTCCAGACAAAGAGCTTTTATTTTTATCAGTTTCTTTAAACTCATTTAAGCCTATTAAAATGCATAATTTCGATATGCACTGATAATATAGATAACTGTTGTCTATATCGCATCAGTCTTCCCGGTACTAGCAAATTCAATTCCTAACAACGAAGGACCATATATGTATGTACATATATTTTTTTCTCGTAAATCAATAATTGCTATGAGCAAAAGTGAGCCTTTATTATTTTCATTTTTTTTCTCCGGGAGTTTTCTAAAGGAACATCACGTACCTTTCATACATGAAGAAAAATACACTTTTAAAAGCTCTACACAGTTGAATATTGTAATTTGTATAACACGTATTGACTTTTGATAAGATAAATGTAGGTATATTGTATAAGAAAGCGTTTGCATCGTTTGCATCTCGTAATCAGAAAGGTCTAATAGAATATTAGTCCGGACATATAGAGCAAGTAATCAATTTGTTACAACAATCATTATGATAAATAATTAATTACGACGGATAAGCAATCATATTTTCTACAAAGATATTTTAATACTATGTTATTAAATTAATTACACGTACAAAGGTGATATTATAAGTAATTTTCTAAATAATTTCTTATTATGAAATATAGAGAGCTATTTGTTTTAACATACTAGCAACTTGCCCCCGATTCACTCGGGATCCCTATGTGTTAAACAATAACCTACGAGTCTCTGACACTAGGTTATAATTCATCTACACACTAGATAATATAATTAAAATCTGTTAAGCCATTTCAATGTAGTATGTGAAGGCGAATAAACATACATATATACCCGTACAAACTTTAGAAATTATAATAATATTCTGAAATTATGACTTTACTTACACTAGTATTATAAAGAGGAAAGATTTGTATTTTTGTATGTTTGTAATGAATAAATTAAAAAAATACTAGACCGATTTAAATGAAATTTCCTAAAGAGATAGTTTGAGACCCTGGGAAGGAACGATATATTTTTTATTTCAAAAATCATCCCTTGAGGGGGTGAAAATGGAGATGAACGTTTGTATGGGGAATCAACCTAGGGAAGAACCCGATCGAAGCGAAGGTGAGGCGCTATTTCATATCAAAAATGAAAATCGCATTGGCGGCTAAATAATAATAAAAATAAAAAGCTACAAATATCTTATGATAAGGTAAGGCTGTAAACTCAATAGCGTCCTTTCAATTACCATGTTTCAAGGGTCTTTTAAATATGTGAATAACACAATATTACCTATACAAATATTTTTCTCAGCGGGATTTGAACCCATAATCAGCAGTATAGTGAGAAATTCTATAAACATTAATCTATATATAAATAGGCATAAGGAACAGAGGTCAGTACTTTTGACTCCTCTATTTGTCAAACGATTTTTTTTTGGTTAGTAACTATTGACCAGACTTTAGTGTATTCAATAAAAAAAAATGATTATAAGCAAATTTTAACCACTGGGCAAGTACAAGCTTACATTAAAAAGTGTAACTTACAAACATAGTAGCAACATTATTAGGGAATTCCTTAGCAATGATCGCAAAGGAAGCGGTGAGGAATGCTGCATTTCCCATAGCCTCTACGATGCGTATTGTGAACGCCAGCGTCACAAATGGTATGTGCCCCTCAACTTTGTCTAGTAACCTGTTGGTTTAAAATAAACGTTTATTAGTCAAAGCTATTAATATTTTTTAGTCACGAATTCTTGCACTATTTCGGGAAGAATAATTCCTGAGAATAAATGAAAGTCAGCTTTCTATGAATTTGAATTTCATTTTTTGCATGAAATTATTAACTTTCTCCCTAACGTAATCAAACTTATATTTTTTTTTATATTAATGTTGAGAAATGCATTTACACATACTACCTGTAAACATACAGTGGTTATGTGGGACTTATCTTCTAGAAAAGCCAGTACTACTCATTAAAAGCCAACAAAACCTCCCTCGTCTTAACATCGTACTCAAGCACGACGCCCCTACGGCAGGTCTGTCGAAGCAGACCACAACAACTATGAGGTTGCTCCAACGGTCCACTCTGCTGTCAGAGAAGTACCAGGAGCAACCTGCAAATCGAACTTATCTTAAATTAGGTTTTATAGTTAGTTAGTTGGAATAAGTTTGACCCATGATTCCGCTCTTAAGTTAAGCAGAGTGGGAATAAAGTATAGCCTATGTTCGTCGCCATTGGCAAAAATTTCTTATAAAATTTCATCGAAATTTGTTCAGTAGTTTAAGCGTGAAAACGTAACAGACAGAAAGAAAGAATTACTTTCACATTACTTATAAGTTTAGATGTACATAAGTAACAAATGAATACGTATATTATATAGATAATTTAAATGAATATGTAATATACATTTATTTTAAGCAGTGAGTTATAGTATTGTCAATTGTGTATAGATGAAAAAATATATGTCTACAAAATAATTTTTACGTGATATGTGCAAATATATTTACGGAGAGAAGTAAAATTTTAATCATTTTAATACTTTTTATAAGTCAGTAATAAAATAATATAGTTTAAATCATTACATCTTAAAACTACAGATTTGATTATCAATGAATAATCTAGTATTTACTAGTTCAAGTTAATTATACAAATAAATAATAATATTAATGTCCATTCAATTCATAATACGCAAATAAACTCGGCCTAGTTTCAAATATGTATGCGTATTTGTGCCCATTTACATATGTATATGTATTTGTACCCTGTACTTAGAAACTGCCCCTTTGGTTTAGACTCAGAGGCTTACATGCATAACTGAAGAAGTCTAGGATCAGACATTCTTATTGGGTTTTCTGTAACGAAATTCTCAGTAGCAGCCCGGAACTGGGCAATTGATATATAATCATGAAAGTGAAAGAAAAAGAGAATAATAATAAATAAATGATAAATATGTTGTGACATTAACAGACATCACCATCTAGTTCCATGGTAAGCTACGAGGCTTGTGTTATGGATACCAGATAGTTGATACACTACACATATATAACTTTAAATACGTACATACTATAAATATAAACACCTATAACTGGAGTACAAACATTCGTGCTCATCACACAAATGAATGGCCCCAGCGGGGCACTTGTGTTTAAATATACACGCCTGTACTATGTATAATAACTCTTATATAGTAATGCATTGTCTCTTAGAGATTGAAGAGAATGATTGTCGTGGCCGAAAATCGAACGGAGAAATTTCGTTTTGCATAGAAATATAATTGAAATTTCCTTAGATTTAAGTGAATATTTGACTCAATCGAAAACCATAATAAATCCGCGGAAAAATCCGAAATGATAGTAAAGTATACATTACATATTTTGTTACATAAATAATAACTACGATTGTAACTACAATACAATATATATCCAACTAGCGGCTCACCCTCGCTTCGCTCGGGTTCGTCGCTAGGTACGTTTTAAATAGATATAAAAAGAAAAAATCTTTCTTTCTCACATTTTAATTATATGTTTTAATACTTACCTATTCCGGACTAAGAGAAATCCAAAAATTAAAATATCATAAAAATTGGAACGCGGTCGAACGGGATAAAAAGTATCCTATGTCCTTCTCCTGGCTCTAAACTACCTCCCTGCCAATTTTCAGCTAAATCGGTTCAGCCGTTCTTGAGTTATAAGCGAAGTAACTAACACGACTTTCTTTTATATATATAGATTTGCAAAAATAAGTTGCTAGCTTACAGACCTATACAAATTCGATATATTTACTCAGGCTTTAATTTTTATTTGTAATGAACATGGCAATGAGTTAAGTTCCGGCTATGTACAAATATTTACATAGACGATAAATATTTATCGTTATCTGGGAGTAAAGGTAAAATCAACAGTAGCTACGCAGCGGTCGAAATTAGGCGGAAGATGAAGTATAACATTCATAATTTTGGCCTTCTGGTGTTCAAGTACTTAGTATTAATTACATTTATATGTTCAGATTAATAAACAATATTGACTGGTAACAAGTAGATATTAAGAAATGAATGCATTTTTTTTTAATTTACTTCTGTTAGTACTTGTACATTGTAAAACTATGACGCACGACATTTTCTGGCAATTTCATAATTCCGGGCTGTCACGGACAATTTTTAGACAGAAAAACTTAGGTAGTCTAAGTTTTTCTGTCTAAAAACTATGCCATGAAATTGGATCATTTTCAGGACTTTAGGATCTGCTGCAGACATGTTAACTTTTAGACCAACGTGCAATTTCTAAGTACAGAGTTCAGATTAGAAACTAGATCGAGTTTTGGGTGGCTCGTATTGTATTAGACAATTTGAGATATAGGTAGTGAGTTTTAATTTAAATATACAATATATATGTATATAGTTTAGGTCTTAAGTTACGTACTATATGCAATACGAATATGTATATCGATTGCAGGTTATTGATTTTAAAAGAAAATATGTCCTATGACCTCCAGAAAGATAAAAACCATTTTAAAATAATTACCCAAACAATATAGAACATGTTGATGTAGTTAATATTCCCGCGTTGAAGACGAGCTTAGGCCCCAATCTGTTAAGATGAGCGCCGTAGAAAGGACTGATGATGAAGACTACCAACTCGAACACACCAAACACCAGGCCATACTCTGTAGCTGAACACCCCTTTAGTTCCGCCTGTAAAAATATAATTATATTATAATTAATAATTTTGATACATTTTAATATTTATTTTTCACACAAGATGAGTTTACTACTTTTGTCCATTTTACTAAACTATATACGTACTTACAAAAATGGAGCCTATGTATTAATTAAAAATATCTGTCCCCATTTCGAATTTAACCATCTTTGAAGCGTTGAAAGCTTTATGAAGTAACAATTAACCGATAATAAGTACTTGCATACTTTATTTACAGTAAAGAAAATTACAAATATATGTACTTAATAACTAGCGACTCACCCTCGCTTTAATTCATCCCTATACTGGTTCCAGTCTGAGTGGTCAGAGTCAGAGTAGATACCTGGTTCATCCCTAGACTGATTCCCCATACAAACTTTCATTACCATTTTCACCCTTTTGAGGGATGATTTCCGGAATAAAAACATCCTATGTCATTCCCAGGGCCTCAAACTATTTTCTTACGAAATTTAATATAAATTGGTTCAGTAGTTCCAGAGTTTACTTCTTACAAACAAACTCATAAACTAACAAACTTTACCTCTTTATAATATTAGTATAGATGATTATATTTAACAATATACATTAGTAATAATTTGTTTTGGTTATTTTTTGAGATGATTTATGCTAATAACAAAAACTGAGTGCTTAGTCAATGATTTTTTTAAATTGGTAGAAAACTAATAATTATGTGGAAATGATTTATCTAAGTATTCATTAACGTTGCCATAGCATGCCCTTACAATATATACATATTTCCGTGCTTAACTAGCGAAAGCAGTTAACAAAATGTATAGGAACTTTTTTAAGTTTCCTTAGTCCATACAAGTTATTTTTGAAGTTTAACAGAACAATTTCAAAATGTTTTATCGCATTTGTGAGTGACAATAGTGAGGTCTAAATATACATACTTCGGTCCTAGTTACAGTGATTTAGTTATAAAAGTATCGGCGCCTGGCAATTGTACGGACTACCCGATAACCTAACAAGGTTATCAATATGCTATGTATTCTGACCGACAGGCGACCAGAAGGTAAGGTTTTGTATGAGAAAACAAAAATGAATACAACAGCTAATATTTAACAAGAAAAACAATTAAAGTATGTCCAAAACAAATCTATACTTAAAAATGACGATGTAGATCTCCAAGAAATTTAATAAGAATGCTAGGTAATTTTTCCCTTGTCTTCATCTTTATTTAACGTCCCACTGCTGTACATGAGCCTCAATTCAATACGAAGGGGATCAGGCCATAGTCCACCACGCTGGCCAAGTGCGGTTTGGCGGACTTCACATATCTTTCGAAAACTTGCTAGGTTTTCTCAGGCATGCAGGTTTCATCATGATATTTTGCTTGACCGTAAGAAAAGTGGTAGTCATGTTGGAAATGATTCGCACACGAAAATATCAGAAGTGCGAGTGTCAAGATTTGAATCCACTTCACTTGGTTTCTCATACGAGGGCATTACCATACCTAATTGGCCCTTATTTATTTTATCTTTGTGACTGTCACAAAAACATTTTGTTTATTGAAGATTGAAAAATTACATAACTAAAAATATATGGAAAAAATATATATATGCGTTAAGTCACGTAGTCAGAACATGTCCTTCCCATATCATTTATATTATAAAGTATAATAATTAATAAATTATATATAAATACTTTTTATACTAGTCGTATCTGCGTATGCGTTCCTATTTAGTCCGTAACCTTATGATTGTTAATTCAAGATATGACTTTATGCTGGAGTGCCCACAACCGAAAGCTCAATTTGTGTTTTTAGAATCGAATGAAATCTAACTTAGCTAAGTCTCTAAACATATTTTATCTAAAAAAACAATAATTATAGTTTACAGGCCTTTGAACAATTGTAACGTATCGGAGTTGTTAAAATGAATCAAATGAGCCAACGAATTTATAAGTTTCACCAGTGGCCATTGTAGAATTCTACTTTCTGTTTCCAGCATCAGATCAACTCGATGATATCGAATTAATATCTAACGAGATTTTATATATCTACTCCCAGAGTATGAAATCGGTATCGGTGCCGATTATGGTATGGTCAATTAGAATTAGGTTAAAATAGACTTTCAACATCAAATCAAATAGTTACAAGTGTAGCTAATACAAAAAAAAACGGACTTTAAGATTACTTCAAAAGTTTTTCCGTCTTTAGGAATATTTATGGAACCCTTAAAGTCTACAACAAGGGTTCATAAATTAAAAAAATAAAGAAAAGAAAACATATCGCGAAACGTACACAAAAACATAGAATCGAAGTGGGGACCTCCTCGTTATTGAAGTTGGCTAAAGGGCATGCTTTTAATAAGGTCGCATTGAAATCTGCTTAGTTTGTTATTTTCGGTCGAAAAAAATCTTGCCATATCACATTATTACAAAGTCTTTAGAACGGAGAAAATTAAAATTTGGTACATACATATATCGAGTTAGTTAAAACGACGTAAACAGGAAAAAAAATATTACTAACTTGCTTTAATTTTATTCTATTTTATTTTATTTGTATTTTATTATATGCATAGATGTCATTGATGTATAGATGTCATGTGATAACTGTCATTTTTTTCCAACGACAGGAAGAAAATAGCTTTTATTTCACTGTTTATTACTCAAACTTTTTGAAAATATTTTATTTTCTATTATATTATCTTAGCAAGTCTCATTCGTACAATTTTAATATTTATTTTCTATAGTATTGATACCATATATTTATAGTACATTATAGCAAGCTACAAATGACCTTAATAAATGAGTTAGTGCCCCAATTTGATGGCACACTAAATCATTTTAACAAAACTTACACTGGTGAAAGTTTATTTTTTATCTCGAACAAAACAGTTTTTTTTTCACGATAAGGCATAGAAAAAGAACAGAATTCGTGATTTTCCTTTGTGCTGATAGAGGATGCAGTTGAAGGTGACATAGGCTATTTCTTACCCGGGAAAAGGATGGAGGGGTGGTGATGTAGCTATCCGTATATAAATATTCTATACTAGCGACTCACCCTCGCTTCGCTCGGGTTCGTCCCTAGCTTGATTCTCCATACAAACATTCATTCCCATTATCATCCCCTTAAAGGATGATTTCCGGGATAAAAGTATCCTATGCCCTTCCCAGGGTCTCAGACTATCTTCTTACCAAATTTCATCTAAATCGGTTCAGTAGATCCAGAGATTAAACCCTACAACATCACAAACTCACAAACTTTACCTTTTTATAATTTTAGTATAGATATTTGTGCGTTTATTCCACAGTATAATCAGTGAAGTCGCTAGCCATTTATCATAGGTAGTTTTTAATTTAAAAAAGTTTATAATACTTGATTTTAGTTAATTTCCTATTTCTAAGCTGGTTTTTCTTAGTGAATCAGAAATAATTAATTTTAAATTCTTCTTACTACTCCTTTCTCCCTTCGAAAAAATTATTCATATTATTCTTACTATATAACTAACCATAATTTTTCGGCCTGTTGCGAGTCATCATCGAGTGTACTAAGGGGTACCATAAGCTGAGTAATATGGGCATGATCGGGCCCTTAGGGTTTCAAGCCCTATGAAAATGTTGTGTTCTTATTATTATAGCCTTACAAAATAACGAATGCTACATATCATTTAACATTTAACTGATTCTACCAATGAATTTTAAATCAAAATCAATTCACTCAAACCTAATATTTTACTTGCCTGCTCAAAATTTATTATTAAAATTAATAAGTCTTTTAATTTTTATAATTTTTAACCGATTTCAAAAAGGAGAAGGTTCTGAAATCGGCTGTTTTTTTTATATTTGGCACGTTTGGAAAAAATATGGGGGTAAAATTTTTATGATGCGCGCGTACTTTATTTTTGTTCTCTTACACCAAAGAAGTATACGAGTAACCTTTTACGTGCGTACATAAGTACACACACGGTTTTTTTACTTTGTATATTTGTTACATTAGAACTCCGTCATTTATTAACCGATTTGGACAATTTTTGTTTTGTTTGAAAGTATATACTTCCAGTTTGATTCAATTTAAATTTGAATAGAAAAGTATCCTAAGACTGGAAAAATAGCTAATAAAAATTTAACCTACTTCTAATTATCGTAATATTGACTTGAAACTTTGCAAGTGTTTCTATTGCCATTGATAATGCATTGATTCATATGACCTGATCTGATGGTAACGCCTGAAAGTGGATAGGAGGTACTTTTCAATGGCTAATAGTAGATCTTTGAGTTTAAGCTTATTTTGTTTGATTTGACAAGCCTAATACGTTAGAATTGGATTTTGGAGCCTGATTTTTAGTGTTACTAATAAAAGCTAGTTTTAGTTTGTCAGTCTTCATATTTTAAATTAAATTAAAAATTAAAATTCGCATTAAACTAACTTAAACGTCTTAAGCGAATATGTATTATTATTATACTATGTCTACACTAAAAATGGAAAAATAAAAACTAAAAAAACCGACTTAAAAACATTAAAGAGTAATACATATATAAACAGATGTCGTTGAAGTCGGTGCCAGCTGATACAAATCAAAGCACCATAGCAGGTATTTATAATAATTGAAAACTACCGATCAGTTATTTTTTTCTTTTAAATGTTTTTTTGAAGTCGGGTTTTTAATTTAAATGTCATATGCAGCTTGTCTTTATGTGTTACCTTGAAAAAAACATTTTTTGAATCATCTTTAAGTTTCTCCTTCCTTTTAAAAAAAAAAAATCAAATCTATAAGCAAAAATATTCAAAATTAATCGCGATATGGTACCTATTTTGATATTTTATTTTAGCGTCAAACCTGATTTTTTAAATAAACATTTATATAGACTTACATAATAACATCAAGCAACACTGCATTTGCAAATAGCACTAAACTAAAATATTTTATTAATGCAATACCTTGCTAAATTAAATATTTATTAATATTGTTAAATTACATAACGCTACACTTACCTCGTGAGGAAAAAATGGCGCTTGAAGAGCAACACATATAGCATTACAAAAATCCGCAATAGAAATTACCACTACAGTCAACCACTGTCTTTTAGTAAATTGAAGACGCATTTTGAAATGGGCACTTTAAAATTAGATCACTTTGAAAAACTCAAAATTCATAACTTACGATAAATAATTAAAAATATTAAGAGCTTAATACTAAGTAACACTCGATTTTATATTACAGTTTAAATTAATTTCATGAACGTCACAATTTTCTGGATGCTGGTATGTTACTGAGGGTGTATCGAAGAAGTTATAGCAAAATAATACTCACTCAAACATCGGACTATTGCCTTCGCGAAAAATTGAATTACATTGACTCTTCTGTTAGCGATTTACATAATTTATAATTATATATACAGCAATGAATAACTAATTCTAGAAGACTCCTACATATTTGAGGTTAGCTGCGAAATTGGTACACGGGTTATGATAAATAAATGATAAATGGGATGTAATTAAGATTTGTAATTTTTGTTTAATTGGCTTTTTAATTATAAACAATTGATAGTTGTGACGATACTACTACTATTTGAAGTCATTGACTCCTTATAATGGATATACTTAATTAAATTTAAATTTTTTATCACTATGAAGTAAAGATATATGTAATTACATCATATTTGTCTAAGCTTAAAGCTTATTTTCTGAAAACATTAGAGGGTAATGAAGAAACTTCATATATGCACCTACGTCTTTACTGACAAATTCATTAAGTGCAAGCTCCAAAAAAATAACAGGCCCCTGCTTTATAGATGAGCGTGTAAATTTTAACAGTTATCTACTGTATTATTGAATCTGTATAAATTACAACCTGATGCCTAATCTTTAATATTTAGGTATTAAATTTACATCGAAATGCGTCTAGCCATTTTCGAGCGACGTGCAAATAACGATATATGTTTATGATTTAGAGATTGAAATTTTCAAAATTATAGATTTTTTTCCTGTATTAAATCTATAAATATGAAGACGAAAAGGTCACTCATTCACTTACTAAACATGAAATATCAAAAACTGACCTATGTAGCTAAAGTTCATAGGTAGGACATCAGCTAGAAACGGATTTTGGAACAGAGCCGGGGGGAGAGGGCGGAGGGGAGGGGGGAGGGGCTTCATGAGTGATTTATTTTGATCATACAAAAATCATGTACATGGGCGGCTCCGTGAGCAATGCTAGTCTTAAAAATATTCTAATTAGAACTATTATAAAATCACTTATTAAATATACTAATAATAATGTCCTCCGGAACGATTTCGTCCACAGCGGCCAATCTTACCGAAACTTGTAGTATGTATGTACATATATGCAAATAGGTATATAATGCATAGTGCACAAATATTCATTCAGTACATTCATTTTATGCCCAAGGTACACCAACAAAGGAATCTAAGCTAATTCATTCGTTTTTTTTAACGTTGGGAAATGCATTTAGGCACGAAGTGTGGGACTCACCGGCAAAGCCAGTAATAACCACTAGAACCCAACTGAACCTCCCCCGTCTTAATGGGGCGTCGCAGGATCGCTTACGCATTCAACCACGACGCTTCGACGGCAGGTCTGTCAAAGCAGACCACAACGACTATGGGGTTGCTCCACGGTCCACTCTGCTCTCCAGTGCCGGATTTGACCTTGGCGCCGCCCCTGGGCACTGTTAAAAATGCCGCCCTATTATCGAAGTTTTGAATAAAATGTTGAAAGTTAAAAAAAACTAATTATTAATTTTTTGATAAATATACCTACTACTAGTTAATCTCTTTATATTTTTCATTTTTTGGAAAATAAAAGAAGGATTTTCAATTACGCGAAGAACATTTTTTTTCGCCCTCCGAAATTTGCCGCTCTGGGCCCTAGCCCTGAGTGCCCCTAGTGTAAATCCAGCGCTGCTGCTATCAGAGAAGTACCAGGAGCAACCTGCATAGCACACCGCCCACCAAGATGGGCCACCTCCCAGTGTTTCTTGGCTTCGCGCCTGGCTGGATTGCCGGGAACTACTAAGCCCCCCAACGAGAAGAAGAACGCGCGTTGGTCATGGGGGACCTAAATCATACCTGGAGTTGAATGTTTTTCTTAAAATTTTAATATATCTTGAAACAAATTAATTTAAAAATATAAAAAAATCCGACTGTGTAAAAAGCAAATTAAAAAGCGGAGAACAAGTTGACGAAGGAACATTATATTGTACATTATATTATCATCAAAATCTGTTAAGCTGTTTAGTACTTACGAGGGAACATAGTATCGGACTTACATACGTACAGGCTAAACACATAACCTTCCTTTGGGCTTTGCCGCAGACGAGTAAGAAATTAATAGATGAAGTTTTTTCGTAATTGCCAAAAATATGTTACTTTATTATACTTTGTTTTTGTAACAATTTTATTGTAATAATACAAAATTCACCAATAGTTAGTTACATTGCATACGCAACGTTTGTATAAACCGCGTTGTAAATTAAAATATTTCATTTACGGTTCCCAACTTTTCACACACAATCGAGTGTTATTTTATTAAAATATATAAACTAGTATTACCCGCGGCTTCGCCCGCGTTCTGATGACCAAAAACCAAATAAAATATATCATTATGGTTTTATTCTAACCAGTTTTTGTATTTTTTCTCAGAAATAAGGTATTTTCCCGCGGTAAAAAGTATCCTATATGTTACCATACCAAATTTCATCAAAATCCCTCCAGTAGTTTTTCTGTGATGCGGTAACAGACAGACAAACATAAATTCTAAAAACTATACATTTGGTCTTTGTATCGATAATAATGTCTATTTCAATAAGATTTTCCACAAAATATTTAATGTTACAATTTTATTATATATTTATAAATATGTATTTGAATTGTTAGTATTTTATTTAAAACATGTGTTTTGCATTATGCAGGTCAGTACAATATTTTACTAAAATCATAGATGACAAAACATAGTCCATATCCATACTAATATTATAAATATGAAATTAATGTATTTGTTTGTTTATTTGTTTGTTCTTCTTTTACGTCGAAACAGAGTGACTGATTTGCGTAATTTTTGTGTGAAGATAGTTGGAGGGTTGCAGAGTGACATAGGCTTTTGACCGCGGGAGATTATCTCATTCTCACGGGAAAACACTTTAAAACACAACCTAAAAAAATAATTAAGTATGATCAGAATTACTTGAAACTTGGTTTTAATGCTCTTCAATAAAATTAAATGAATACGCGTATTAGCATTTTTTTGAAATTAGTTCCATAAGCGGGTAAAATGTGGAATGAAAATTTGTGTGAAACCTACCTTTTTATGGTTTTTTTAATAGTTTTATCGCGAGCGAAGCCGCGGGTTCTGCTAGTCTGTATAATAATAAATATTATAAATGTGAAAGTTTGTGAATATGTATGGACGTTTGTTATTCTTTCTCGCCAGAACGGCTGGGCGGATCTGGATGAAATTTGACACAGAGATAAATTATAGTCTGGATTTAGGTTTGTGGCTTCTAGGAGTGCCTTTGGGCACAATTTACTTCTCCATTCTACGCGACATTGGCGAAGTAAATTGTGCCCAAAGGCACTCCTAAAAGCCACAAACCTAAAGAATTGAATTGAATTGAATAACACATAGGCTACTTTTTATCCCGGAAAAATATACAGTTCCCGAGGGATAGATTTGTTTTTGTTTTTCTAGAGGCGAACCCGAGCGAAGCGAGTGTGAGCCGCTTGTATAATATATAGTAAGGATGCCCTATACAATCAGATTGGAAAGCGTTAAAACGTGCCATTTTTTTCTTTTCTTGAATAGATAATAAATGTCTAATAAATAACTAGTTTATTTTATAAATATGCAAACACTAAAATATAATAAATATTAAAAATTCATCATGAATTTAATTAAACTTTCAGTGACTTTGGCAATATTTAAATGAGGTAAATAACTCTTTACCAACCACGGGTAAATATTGTCTTCTTATTCTATGAACTCATAGAAAGTAAAAGCTCAATCTGTGAATATGCACTACAAAACCACACCAGATGCTTATAATCAGTTAAATTAGGCTAATTGGATTAAGGTGCGCATTAATTTAGTTTTCTTCCATTTAGATATATTTTTAAATGTTTTTGGGATCTATTTTTTTAATTTTAATTTTACTCGAAGTTAGTTAAGAGCAACACAGACAGAGGTCCCAAAAAAACTAAAATTTACTTATACTTATTTAATTATACTTAAAATTACAATTATAATTAATACGTCTAATGCTACGCGATGTAACAATTAGAATTTCTATATTAAAGAATTTTTATATTAACGTGAACTTTTATTGGAAAAACAAAAGTGTAAACTTACGTTATGACGCAAATGAACGTGGGAATGCTGACTCCGCTCCGCGTGTCGCCAGTGTACGGCGCGAGGTCAGCACTCCACCTATAGCTATGCGCTGCGGTATAACAAGTTCAATAACAAATCGATACAAGCAATGCCATCTATTGAGATATATTTGAAAGGTATTTTTTTGTTCCTGACGAGACCTCATACTAAAATGTTTATAATATCAACTACAGGTGTTATACCACATACTCTACATACTAGCCTGGAAACCTTAGGCCTCCACCGCTCAACTTATATACTTCTTCAAAAAGCCGCAATTTTAAATACATGCCGAATTGTAAGAAAATTCCTATCCTTATAGGTGGTAACTTTCTTACAGTTTTGGATTTTCAATAGGATTGTACTCGCAGATTTATTTATTACTATTATTTATTTATAACATTTTATTTAAATAATTACATGGCCGATATCTTTTTTTAAATCACCGAAATATAAAAAAATCTATCCAGTTTTTGCTTGGCTTTTTGCCCGCAATAATCAGTTCTAGCTACCCTAGTCACCTAGGAGAACAAAATTGTTAAAACATAATAATAATAATAAGCGTTTATTTCAGACAAGAAGTCCATAAAATTCATCAGTAAGCATGGAACACAGAAAACAGAAATAACATGCTACAAAATTATCACAGAAATAAGCAAAGAAAAATAAACATTTAACAATTAAATTAAATAAATCATATATGCCACTCTGAAAATCTTTAGGAAACTTGTAGATGGATTAAATTCTTAACATTTATTCATTGTTACAAACATACAAAAGTTCGTGGGGAAATTGAGTAAAATAAAATAAAACTAGGTACGTATAAAAAAAATGGTAAAAAATTAAAGTTGGTCAAGTGCGGATTGAATTTACGTCGAGGTATATTTTTATCACGATGTTTGACAAATTATCACGTATTTTTTCGAGGATGTTTGTCAAGCTTTGTCATTTTAACATGTAGGCTCATACTCGTATTTGACAAATAACGTCATATTTGGTAAACATAGATATTCGTAAACAGTATTCAGGTCTTCTTAACGTTACATCAGGGGAATCAGGCCATAGTCGACCACCCTGACCAAGTGCAGGAAAATTGATAGGTTCTCTCACACATTCAGATTTGCTCACGATGTTTTCCTTCACCGTAAGAAAAGTGGTAATCGTGTTAGAAGTAATTTGCACATGAAAATATCAGAGGTGTGAGACCCGGGATTTGAACCCGCTTCACTCGGTTTCCCAAGCGAGTGCGTTACCATTTTGCTACCACTGCTTATAAACTGACCCTTGATAAAATTAATTGCAAAAATTAAATGAATTCTAAGTGTAATATTAATTATAATTCCTTAAGTTGAAATGTGAAGGTTTCCATTGTTGTAGTGCTTAAATAAATACGTCCTCCAACTGTAACTGATGCAACTAATTAGTAGTATGTACACACTGTGCTTATTATCTATTTGTGTTTGGGGTACAATTAAAAGCCAGAATAAGTTGAGAAGATTTTTATCTGTATATATTTTCACATGCCGAAAATTCATGAATGACTTCATAAAAAAATCTGTTTCATTTTATTCAGTTCAGCAATTCTGCTAGTTCCATAATAATTTTATCTGAACTGCCAGTTCCATGTGATTTAAAATTATGATGATCAGGGTTAGGTCGAGTTCGTAAAATGGTAAATGAGTGGATAAGCGATGCCCTATTAAGACAGGGGAGGTTCTGTTGGGGTTTAGTGGGTGAGTCCCACATAACCTATATTCATGGGGATGGTATGGTTGTACGTTAAAAAAAGATTAAGTAATATGATGATTTCATTATCCATGATAAATTATTTGCAGAGAAATAGAGAGTTAATCTTGAGAATTAATCAGTAAGATTATCTCAAATTTAAGCAAAGAAACCTAGACTTACTAAGTGCATCGCTTGTGATGTGATGATGGGACAATACGGAAGTAGAGCATAGAGATGTCACATTTAAAAAATGCTAATGTAAATTCGTATAAATAAATAATAATGTCAGGACATTATTACACACAGCACCATCTAGTCCATGGTAAGCTACGAGGCCTTTGTTATGGATTCTAGACAGCTGATACACTACACATGTATAACTTTAAATACATACATATAATTAATATAAACACTCATGACTGGAGTACAAATATTCGTGTTCACCACACAAATGAATGCCCCTAGCGGGACTCGAATCCGCGACCGCTGGTGCAGCAAGTAGGGTCACTACGAACTGAGCCAAACGTGTTGTCAAGTAATGTATAAAACATGAATAGTTTCCTGTTTACGTTAATCTTATATAAATTTGTGAATATATTTTAAATGTATAAAATATATGTGTACATATGTACTTAACCTCAAATCAAAATTCTCTACTCCAACTGGATCAAAAGTTTAATAAGCTTAATATTCATATTTATCGTTTTTTCTCAATATTGTTGATATTTAAAATTTATAAAAATTGTCGCTAACTTATTCTAAGAATTTAAAAAACCTTGAGATAGTATTAACAATAATTCAAGGTACCAATAATAAAGTTTAGAAAAGATAAAGTATTAAAATCATTACAGAGACTAGCATGATTATTAAAGTTCAGAAGAAGCCCGAGTTGCGGGCTGCGGCGCGGATGGGGGCCAAATGGCTGAGCGTTCTGTTTGTAAATAGAGGAGGGGCGTCGAGGGATGTCGAAAATCGGGCCCGAATAAAACAACGTTTCATGCTTTCACTTCAAACAAAATGAGACGCGTACCCGTCCACCTACCGCAGCACGCGCCTATTGCTTACTGAATCTGCCGTACAACGGACGCCGTCGACTTAAAAATATTAAAACGAAAAAGTGACATTTGGTGCGAAATTTTTATTAAGTTCAATTTTTAGTAACTAAACAATATGAGTCGGCATATTTTTAAAGTAATTTTTGTAATATTCTTCACGATCATCTGCCAAAATGGGGAGGCGGCGGAGAATGATAATACACCAACTATACGTAAGTCTTATTCCCTATATTAGCGCAACTAAAAGTGATACATAATATAAAATTACTTGAAACAAGGTATAGTATTAAATAAATAAAATATTAATATAATATAAAATTATATATAAATAATAAAGAAAATTAGAAACGATTACAAAGATCGCGTCTTTGTATTTAAATTGCGATTTTGTAACGAGCATTGTTATTATATTCGTCTCAATGGTTGCCAACCGTTTAGATGTTGAAATATTTACGTTTGGCAACTTGGAGATTTGTGATGAAAAATAGTGTGACCTTTGCCTTATTGCGTTTAATCATTATACAAGTATTATCTCAATTATAAAAAAAACGATGCCCCAGAAAAAAAAAGAAATTGTATCGATAAAGTGACCTGAGCTGGGGTTGTTATGATTATAAATACTTTGTATAAATAAGAACTAAATAAATAATAACATTATTATATTATCAATATAATAATTTAACTTAATATATATAAAATAAAAAAAAGATATGAATTAAAATTTACTCGATTATTTGAAAATTTAAAGTACATAAAATAATAAAATATTACTATTCGTAACCGTTCCTTCTGAAATTGTAGGAAGCTTTTACGTTTATCTAACTATTTATCTTATTTAGCTATACAAAACAGACTTACATATTTAATACTAAAATGGTAGCTTGTTCGTTTTGCATATTTTTATTTACCAAACACTTAAAACGCCTTAGAGTCACTGATCACCTTAATTAAATTATAAAATATATTTCTGTGAAAAAATACTTTTATAAAGAAAAAATGTGTTTCTTCTAACGATCTTCTCTTTGCATAGATATTATTTGAATTGCCATGCCAGTGTATGCTACGGGAAATCACACTTTAGAAGCTACGCAGGGGTCTTTTTAAAAAGAACGCTTATCATTTATTTTAACATAATGATGAAACTTTTGTTTACTTCAAAAGTCTTGTTAATACCGAAATGAATGGTAAATGAACTGGCCAATTGGTATGTTTCTATTTCTATAATGAGGATAATTTCGCTATATCAGGTGTGTCATTGATGCCAAGGTCACTTTCGTGTTCCGTTGACGAAACAACGTGTTCCCCATGTTTGCTGTCTTGCGTATTGTAATGGAGCCGGTCACGTGATATTTTATGTTGTTTTTATTACGTGAATATTATGTTTTACAAACGTAATACACATATTTTTATTAATCCCATTAATCTATATATGTATAAAAATCTATTACTGTTTGTTAGTCTGGCTAAAACTCAAAAACGGCTGGACCGATTTGAATAATTCTTTTTTTGTTTTGTTGGGGGTGTGTCAAGGGTGGTTTAAGTATAAAAAAATAGGGAAAACCCAAAAGTACACCTGGAAAATCAATCAACGTTCAGAACTGTTCACTTTGTTATGTTATAATATATAGTCTATCTATTCCATGATAACAGGTAAAACGTACCTAGGAACGAACCCGAGCAAAGCGGGGGTGAGTAGTTACAACACGTTTATTCGAAAACTGCTGGACCGATTTTTATGATCTTTGTTTTGCTAGATTTGTCTTTACCACGAATAGCAGAATAACTAAACATCGGAAAAATTCACAAAAAAAAAGAATATGTATTGCATACTAAGCGCCAAAACGTACCTAGGGACGAACTTGACCGAGGGTGAGTCGCTAGTAATATTTTAAATGCGAAAGTTTGGGTGAATGTTTGTTATTCAATCATGCCAGAACGGCTTAACGGATCTGTATGAAAGGCGCCGAGATAGGTTATAGTCTGGAATAGCACATAGGTTACTTTTTATCCCGGAAAAATTTACGGTTCCCGTGCGATAGATTTGTTTTTGTTTACACTAGGGATGAACCGGAACGAGGTGAGGGTGAGTTGCTAGTCTATACATATAATAAAATTGTAACTAAGCCGAATCTGTACATTAGATATTTATTGGAAAATCTTATTGAAATAAACATTAATATCGATACAGAGACCGAGTCTATAGTTTTTAGAATTTTTGTTTGTCTGTCAGTCTGTTACCGCATCACAGAAAAACCACTGGAGGGATTTTGATGAAACTTGGTATGGTGAAAGCTGGTTATCCGGGTCAACATACCAACTTTTTATTGTGGGAAAATGTCTCATTTCTGAGAAAAAAAACAAAAACTGCAATGTAAGAGTAGTTGGTGGAACGCGGGCGGAGCCACGGGCAATGCTAGTTTATCTATAAATCCCTTTTACAAAGTTAATAGGAGATATTTATGTATATGTATATTTTGTATCAGACACTAACTACTCTAAGTCTAATGATGATTTGTAAGCTTTGTGCAACTAAAATAAATTAAACAGTTTCTATATTAGCGATTTGCTCTCTATCGTTATCATTAACTTTTTGTAATAAAAAATGTGTATGCGACCTGACAGACTCTGTTCCAATTTTAATAAATTTATTTGTAATTTTTGAATTCATACAAAATACCCAAATTTTCCAATTTTCCACGCATTTCCATTTTTTTCTTTATTCGAACGAACTATTGAGGATATTTCAAAATATAAATCAATCCAGCTGTTCTCAAGTTATTAAAATTATTGCTAGAAAAGTATCTAGATATTTCTTCAAATCTAGAAAATTAAATGTCGTTTTTTTTCTAGAGATAATTGACCTTGACCTATTAAAAGATTCCACAGATTACGTAAGGAATGATCATTATTAATTTAAATATAGTCACATATTGGTTTTTTAAAATATGTTGTTTTTTTAAAGGTGATAATTTCCATAAAACAGGTTTGAGATTAAATGTGTAGTAAACAAAATTAAAAAATGTATTGGTTAGTGACTTAACTTCAACTTTTCACAAATGTGTAGGAAATAAGTTATGATTAGACATAGGACGCATGAAAAATACTTTAAAATATACATGAAAATGAAAAATAGCCAAAAAGTTTTAAAATATGTTACATCAAATTGTAAAAACGATTTATTTTTAGTTTTATTTTCAAAATAAAGCGATAATACTAAAACTAGCAATTTTTTTTTATCAAGCAATATTTTAATATTTACAGTCAGCTTCCATATATTGACTAGGTAAAGTATTGAATTTAAATACATGAAAACATGTATAATGAAAATAAACATTGAGATTTTAGTAAAGTTCGCAACATAAGGCTCGTATTTATGTATCCCCAGACATCCTTATAAGGCTTGATGAGATGATATGTGTATTGTATATGTACATACAATATTAAGATGACGAGGAATTATAAGTCTCAATCTATGACAGAAAGGTATAGACCATAAGCCCATATGGGGTTGTATTTTGTAAAATTGTAGGCAGGTTCTTAATGTAATGTAAAATTATAATACTTTAATACTTTCTTAGATTTATCTTTTCGGATTATTTCGCGGATTTATTTTGATTTTTGGTTCCCGACGTTTCGAATGTTTTACAGCATTCATGGTCACGGGAGAGACTAAGGTTATAGACGTCTCAAAGGTGTTATATACTTGTTACAGACAGTGCACTATTTTACAAAAATGATTTAAAAAAATCAAAAATGTTGTAATGTAAAATTGTTTGAGTATACATTAAGAATGTTATCCCGATCTTCTTTAGTCTATTTACGATTTTAGATATTTAAGTCTTTAACTAAATGTTATTTCGACATTCTTATTTTATACTAGCATTGCCCGCGTTCAGATGACCGAAAATCAAATTCTTAGGTTTTACATATTAGTATACTTTTACATTACAGTTTCTGTATTTTTTCTTAGAAATGAGACATTTTCCCGCGGTAAAAAGCATCCTATATGTTGACCCGGATATCCAGCTATCACCATACCAAGTTTATCAAAATCTCTTCAGTGTTTTTTCTGTGATGCGGTAACAGACTGACAGACAGACAAAAATTCTAAAGACTATAGATTCGGCTTCTGTATCGATAGTAATATTTATTTCAATAAGATTTTCCAAAAAAATATTTAATGTACAGATTCGGCTTAGTTATAATTTTATTATACGTATAGATTGCTAGTATAGTATTACATTATCTGTATTTTCTATTGAATACTATAAAATATAAGTGTTCTTTGTTAAATGCCTGTTTTAAGGAAATTGACTAATGGGCGTATACAAAGAGCGAGCTTTAGCGATGGTGTACCATTATATTTATGGCTTTATCGTTATAATAAATTGGTCATCTTATTAATTCAGTACACGTTTTAAATTATACGTCGTATCTAAGATTATTATTTAAGTTTATTGTCTATTACGTTGTATGACGATATAAAGACATCAAATTCAAGGACCCCGTCACAAGATAAAAAATAGAAGTTTTAAAAGGATTCTAAGACTTGAATGTAAATTAAAAATATAATGTAGTAATTTCCCAAAATATCGAATGCACAAGTCCTTTAGCGTTAGAATTATTTACCAAATACAATTTTTAGGTTTAACTCAAGGTAAGCCGTTTTATACTAAAAAGCAATCGAACTATTGAATCTTTACTTGTCTGATTAATAATTGCAAGCCCGTTGCAACATAAATATGCGGAAGCTCCTATCCCGTAAAGAAATATTAGCATATTTATAAACAAAGACATTTAAAATTATAATATTAGTTCACATTTTAGTATTTGTGCAATAAAAAATGATAGGTTGGTTGTTTTTAAAGTCAAACCTGTAAAATTAATGCATATTATTGCATTATTATTCTCTCTGTTTTGATAAATATATTTACATAATATACATATAAGTATATTTTTATGTATACAAAAAAAGTTTATATTTAATACATTATCATCAGAGCATTGTTCTAACCGTAGAACTTAAACTAAGTAAGAGTAGACGTGTACGTAAAAGACAATCAATACATCAAATATGCCCCATAATAATATACGCACAACGGATCAACGGAGAGTGCGGAAAGTTGAGGACACCTTACAGGCCCCATAAAAAAGACATCAGTCGTCACATTAGTAGTAGGGCTCATTGGTAGAAAAATAATATCGTAGAAAA